ACAAAAATTGATCAATGTAATATACCACATTAAAGAATAAAGGGGGACAAACCACGATTGTCTCAACTGATACATAAAAAGTATTTGACATAATTCAACACCATTTATGATTAAAAAGAAACACTCAACAAACTAGGAATAGACAGAAACTATCTCACAGTAATAAAAGCTGTACATAAAAAGCCCACAAATGACATCATACTCAATGAAAGACTTAGTTTTTCCTCTAAGATCAGGAACAAGACAAGGATGCCTACTCTTACCACTATACTGAAACTCCTAGCCAGAGCAATTAGGCTAGAAAAAGAAGAGGCATCTAAACTGAAAAGTAAAAGTAAAATTATCTCTGTTTACAGATGACTTGATATTATATATAGAAAAGCTTTAAAATTCTACACAAAAAATCCCTGTTAGAACTAATAAATCCAATCAAATTTAAAGATACAAAATCAGAATGCAAAAATAAGTTGCATTTCTATATACTAAAAATGAATAATCTGAAAAGGAAATAGAGAAAACAATTCCATTTATAATAGATTTAAAAAGAATGCTTATGAATAAACTTAACCAAGAAATTGAAAGAGTTGTACCTTGAAAACAAGAAAACAGTGCTGTAAGAAATTTAAAAAGACAAATAAATGAAAAGACATCTGTGTTCATAAATTGGAAGACTTTATATTGTGAAGATGTCAATACTAGCTAAAGCAAAATACATATTCAATGCAATCTCTTAAAAAATGCCATTTTTATAGAAATAAAGAGACCCATCCTAAAATTCATATGAAGTCTCAAAGGCCCTCAAACAGTCAAAACGATCTTGAGAAAGGACAGAGTTGAGAGTTTCACATTTCCTGATTTCAAAACATATTACAAAGCTACAGTAATAAAAAAATGTGGTATCAGCATAAAGGCACACATATAGACCAAGGTATAGAACAGATAGCCCAGAAATACCCTCACTGTATGATCAAATGATCTTTGACAAGAGTTTCAGGGTCACTCAATGAAGAACAGAAGACAGTCTCTTAAAAAATGGTGCTACCAAAACTGGATATTCACATGTAAAAGAATGAAGTTAGATCCTTACCTTACACCACATACAAAAATTAACTAAAATGGGTAAAAGACCTAAATATAAGAACCAAAACTATAAAATTTCTAGAAGAAAACATAGGAGAAAAGCTTTAGGACACTGGATTGGCCATGAATTCTTGGAAAAAACACCAAAAACAAAGGCAAAAGAAACAACAGACAAATGGAACTGGGTTGCCCAAAAAGTTCATTTGGTTTTAAAGTAAAACTAAAGGACACATTTTTCATCTTAACCAATAAGTTTATTAAACAACATTATTCACCATTCTGTTCCACTACTTTCTGACATCTTTCAGGCAACTTCATAATTTCATCTTCCCAAAACTTTTTATAGTTTTGAGCAAAGAACTCTTCCAAGTGCCTTTTGCAGTCTTCCAGGAAATTGAATTTTTTTTCATTAAGAGAATTTTGTAAGAACTGAAATAAATAACCCAAAGATGAGGTGTCTGGTCAATACAACTGATAAATCAGAACTTCCCAGCCAAGAGAAACATGTGGTCTTGCACTAGTTATCCTGATGGAAAGTTAGTTGACTAATTCCAGTCACTTTTTGTCAAGTGCTGCTTTCAGTTGGTCTAATTGGGAGCAGTACTTGATGGACTTAATTGTTTGGTTTTCCAGAAGGAGCTCCTAATAGAGGACTCCCTTCCAATCTCACCATCTACATAACATCATCTTTGGATGAAGATCAGACTTTGGTGTGATTGGTGATGGTTCATCTCACTTGCCCTACAATCTCTTCTGTTCCACATGCAGGGGTGTCCGACCTGCAGTTGGTGGGCTGCATGAGTCCCAGGATGGCTATGAATGCCAGTATATTTAATGTGTGCCCCAAGACAACTCTTCTTCTTACAGTGTGGCCCAGAGGCACCAAAAGTTTGGACACCCCTGTAAGTATCCACTTGTCATTACCTATCACAATGTTTTAAAAATGGAACACTTTCATTACATTTAAGTAGAGAAATATAGGCAAGAAGGTTTTTTTTGTCACTTAACCCATGTGGAACCCAAACATCAAAGTGATTAACAAAACCAAACTAGTGCAAATGATTTTTGATGCTTGATTTTGATATTTTGAGTATATCAGCTATCTCCCATATGGTATAAATTGATGGTTCTCAGTTAATGTCTCGATTTGATCACTATTGGCTTCCACTGGTCTACTCAACCGTGGAGCGTCATCCAGTGAGAAATCTCTAGCACGAAGCTTCACAAACCACTTTTGACACATTTGATCAGTCTCAGTACCTTCTCCACACACTGCACAAATCTTTTCTTTTTTGCATTTCAGTTGCATTTTTACCTTTCTTGACATAATAAAGTATAGTATACTGAAAATGCTGCTTATTTTCTTCCATCTTCAATATTAAAATGGCTACAAAAATTCACCAATTTTGATAAGTTTTTTAAATACACAGTGATATGACAGCTGTCACAATACAGTATAATAAAATTGGTTCAAATGAAGACATTTAAGTGTTACTAGAGCCAGCACACAGGTAAAAAACAAACAAACAAACTTTTTGGCTAACCCTAAATAATAGAGAACTGCAAATTGAAGCCATAATGAAATATCACTTAACACCCCTTAGCATGACTACTCTCAAAAAACAAAACAAAATAACAACAGTTGGTGAAGATGTGAAGAAATTGGAACTCTTATGCACTGGTGATGGTAAAGTGAAATGGTACAGCCTCTATGGAAAGCAGTATAGAGGTTCCCCTCAAAATTAAAAATAGAACTACTGTATGATCCGGTAATTCCCCTTCTGGGTATACACACGAAAGAACTGAAAGCAGGGTCTCAGAGAGATATTTGCACACCCATGTTCATAGCAGCACTATTCACAACAGCCAGGAGGTGGAAGCAACCTGAATGTCCCTTGATGGATGAGTGGATAAACAAAATGTGGTGTTTATATACGATGAAATGGTATTCAGCCTTAAAAAGGAAGGAGATCCTAATACATGCTACAACATGGATGAACTTTGAAGACATTATAAAATAAGCCAGTCACAAAAAGACAAATTCTGTGTGATTCCGTTCATATGAGGTAACTGAACGTCAAATTCATAGAAACAGAAGGTAGACCAGTGGTTTTGAGGGGTTCAAAGGAGGGGGAAATATTTAGAAGTTGTTTAATAGATATAGTTGCAGTTTTACAAGATAAAAAAGTCCTAGAGATCTGTGGTAGAACAATATGAATAAATATACTTACCACTACTGAATTGTACATTTAAAGACAGTTAAGGTGGTATATTTTATGTTGTGCTTTTTACCACAAATTTTTTTAAAGGCAGGTAGATGGGCCAGCTTGTACGTGAGTCTGAGGGGAAGGAGTTTAGTATGTAAGAGAACAGGTATAATGGTATTCCACCATGAATTATCATATTACTTATAAATAGTGAGGGAGCTTTTTTAGATCAATAGGTTGCCTCTCGCACACTCCAAGCCCAGGTACCGGACCTGCCCAAACTGGAAATCAAACCAGTGACCTCTTGCTTTGTGGAACAATGTCCAACCAACTGAGCCACACAGGTCAGGGCTAGATCCTTAAGTGTTTGTGAGAGATTAGCTCCTAACACTTAAAATGATGTCAACTGTCAGAATGAATCTACTAGCGCATGCGTATGAATTACAGACTATAATAAGGTGAGTGTCCCCAGCAATTTTGCTGAGCCCTAATCGGTATGACCCCCAGATTAAAAGAGCCCTTGGAAAATCTATTTGTTCCTGGAAATTTAGGTTTTTCCTAATAGGCATGGCAGGCCCGTCCAGTCTGCGATGCCCGCTCTTGTCCTGTTAGCCTTGGTCTTCTGTAAAGTGAGAGACGAATCATTAATATCAGCTCTTCTCCAGGCAGAGTAGTAAACCTACTTTAATGTCCAAGTCTTCATTTGGCTGGTATTGCATAATAGTAATCTCAATTTATGTGGTTTTTATTACTTATTCAGAGGCCAAACTTATCCTACAAAGAATAGCAAACTAATAAACTACCATCATAAGGTTATAATTTACTGAATATGTACTATAAACCAGACACTGTACTGGGCAACTTGCCCATTTATTTATTTTTTCCTAAAGTACCCTATAATGAAGTAGGTATCATTCTCGTTTTATAGTTGAAGCTCAAGAAATTAAGTTACTTGTCCAAGGTCCAAGCAGGGGAGAGCTAGAATTCAAACAGTGTATGTAGGCCATACACTTAAGCCTACATTCTTTTTAGTCCATTATATCACCTCCCTAGTCATAGAGAATTACAGTTGGAAGGACTGTCTGGTCTAGTGATTTTATTTCAAATGAAAAGAGGTAAAAATACTCCCTTTTTGACCAATTTTACTTATTTAATAAAGAGTAGATGGCCCAAAAGTCATCTTCCCTATGTTTTTGCTTATTTCTTCTCTTAACATGAGAACCACAAAAATACTGGTGCCTGACAAGAAGTTACTGGATGACATAAGAATCAGCACAGATGCTTATGCAGTAACGTATTCCTAATCGTGTGGACCACCACTCTTTCTATACACAAACTCTAACAGTCCTCATTGCACAGTTCGTTTAACTATTGGATTGACAAGCACTTAAATCCCTGAGTTGTTAAATTGGGGTTTTAAGTCTAGAACTAAATTACTGAATAGAATAAAAGAAAAAGTCATCTACTTAGAAAAACCATGTCTGTATGTTTTATCTTACATTTCTCATACCATAAAGTACATTTGTATTCATTTTCCCCTAATACCTAACAAAAAGGAATGCTTATTTCTTTTACAATACTTCGACTACTCACTAACACCAGTGCCTGAAAAACTTTCGATGTTTGTTAATACTGAAAAAAAAAATGTTCATGTTTGTTACCATTTCTTTAGAATGAAGGTGACCTGATTTCCTGGCGTTAATTTGCATCATGTTAGAAAGAAGGACTAGGCAGGGGCTCCAGGAAGGTACGATGAGTCTGAATTCGTTTTAGAAGCTGCTGTGCCACAGGTTTGAACTCTGTTTCCCAATGGAGTCTGTGATAGTTTTTTAGGTCTTGGTCAAAACTGCTGTCCAGTGCTAGTTCTTCGTCTGTATCAGAAAAATTAAAATTACAGCAATTATTTGGAAATGTAATCCTACTGAATAAAGTTTGATTGTTGATAGCATGAGTTAAACTCATCCTGGGTCATGCCTAATTCCAACATGATACAGACAAGATTTGGGGGTTCAAGGCTTTTTTTTCCTGTTTTTATTTATGATGGCTGTTTTATTGGAGAGTAAAGTTCTTTACTCTCTTCTGTTCTTTGCAAATATTTTAAATAAACATATTTTAATCTCTTAATGAAAAAGGACAATAGTCTTCTCAAAAGAATTCTAAACTGCACTGAGTCTTTATTTCAACTAATCTCTTATGTATATAAAATTCACATCCAAAAGTCAGATAACAATTGCTCAGAACAAAGTATTAATAGGTTACTTCCTTATCTTTGTATTTAAAAAGTTAGTTACTTTTTTAATGCACATACAAGAAATAAAGTGGTTGACAGATATAAAAGGAGCCAGGGAACCTTTTGGGAAAGCAGCACAGTTGAATTTGACAACTAAAACTTTACTAAAAGTCAACTTTGTAGTCTTCAAAGCAGCCTGGACATAATTCTTTAAAAGGACAACCTCTGCCCCTATGTTCTGATCCTCTGCACTACAAGAATCCCAAATGAGTCCATGGATAATGCAGAAAAGTACTTGTAAAAAAATGTGAAATTATAATTATAATTTGCTTCTAGTTCCAAAGACATCCTGAATTCTGTAAGCATAAGTATATCTATCAAAGTAGGAAAAGAAACGGCCACCAGGTTTTCTGCGCGGACCTGCCACTGCACTGGCCCTTGTTTAGACTGGCCCCAGGTGAAGCACTGAGGAAAATGCAGGGGTCTGCCGCTCGGAACACTGTGAACACTGTGGCTGAGGCAGACTGCTAATAGGTAACCACTAAGTCCTAAAATGACCACAAATAGTGCTCCTTACATAGTCTGAAAACTTTCGTCATAGGGCCAATTAAAATCCTATTACATATCAACTGCCTCATGACTGTTTACCTCAAATTTTCTACACTGAATATTTCTGCGCACCATGTACTTTGGCACTGCCGGCATTAGTCCCCACCCGGAATGAGATAAGGCAGTCTGGAATCCCAGCTTGTGCCTTCCCCTCCTCTTCTCCCAACCTAGTGCACAACTATGCAGCTCCGAGATAAGTTCTGGGCACACAAACACTTCAGCAAGGTGCTCCAGCGGGACCTGGTAGGCACACCTGGATCTCCCTGCCCACAAAATAAGCAGGCCCTCGGAAGGAGAGTGCTGATAGTTTGATGCCTCCACAGCCCTTCCCATTGGGCTACTTCTGGACAAGAGGCGTCTGTGAGACTCAGTGGTTTCCGATTTCTAGATCTTCTTCCTGCTCACTCTTTCCAGATTTTCTGAGCACTAAACATCCCGTAATGCCCTTGTTTTCTGTGCTTCTTTCTCAGGATGCTTAGGGCTGAGGGCTGCACAGGCACCTCGCAGTCCCCTCCTCTGCCCAGGGTTTTGGTTGGAGTTGGTGGTTTTAGCAATCTCTATTTTGGTGCTTTAAAAAAATCTAATATCAAGACCATGTTATTTTTCTTGAGGCTCAGACTACAATTAGTTAATAGATACTTGGACCCTATTAATTCTAAACTGGGTTAGACAAGATAATAAAAGTGGCCAAATAGCTAAAGGAAAGAGAAAAACAGGCTGAAATTTCAAAGTAATTATAGCAAATACATTTTCTTTCTTTCTTTTTTAGATTTTTATTTTTTTATTTCTAGACAGAGGGGAAGGGTGGGAGAGAGGGGGAGAAACATCAATGTGTGGTTGCATCTTGTGCACCCCCGCAGGGGACCTGGCCCTCAACCCAGGCTTGTGCCCCGACTGGGAATTGAACTGGTGACCCTCTGGTTCACAGGCCCATACCCAATCCACTAAGCTACAGCCAGTAGCAAATACATTTTCTAAATGCTGTATTCCACTAGGGATTAAAATTTGGAACTTTTATGGAGAAGAGTGACAGAGATGAAGAATTGAAAAATTTTGGAACTTTTATGGAGAGGAGTGACAGAGATGAAATCATGAAAAATTTTGATCTATGATTTTCAAGCTTTTTTGACTATGGCCTAAGATATACATATTGGATTATAACTACATATACCTATACAGGTAAACAAATGTTTTATAATAGAATACTTAACTTTACTACATGTTACAGATTCTAATATTTTCTCCTTGCTACTTCATTTTTTAAAGATACTGGTCACATTGTGGAAAGCACTGATTTAGAAAATCAGTCATTCCTAAGTGTTCTTTGTGCACAGCACATTTCCAAATGCTAGCATTTTAGTCAATCTATCAGAAAGAATTAAAGGACTCAGAATGACAAAGTTGTCGGTGACCATTATAACACAATCTCCATTATAGTTTGTGTCCTACAGCATCAATAAAAGCTTCTCTTACTCACCGCACTGTTTCCTAGCTTGCTGCTCAGCAGCTACTTGAAGGGATTGCCCTCTTTTCTTATAAGGCCCAGTCCTCACTTGTTGCAGAAGCACCTGTTGACCTTTTGGCACAGGCTAGACCCTGCGATCCTCTGACTTGAAGGCTGGGTCCCACTCTGACCCTCGTCATGAAACCCAGATGCTAAGATCCACGTACCTTATAGTGAACATACAAAAACCTAGTGTAGTTTACATTCACAATAATAAACTGCACACACTGATCACCAGTTGCCAGCTCCCCTGAGGGAAGCTCCTGGTAGACTACTGTACTAGGGCATACTATGTAAAAACTCCTCGAGAAACACACTGCTAATGAGTTTAGAAGTGACTGAAATACACTCCTTTTAGGCAACATTCTTTTTAAACCACTTTCCAAAGAGTCAGTCAACATCCCAGCACCCCAACCATGGTGCAGACCATAACTTCATCCTTTTATTTTCCCCCCAGTCACCCATCAAAGGAAAGTCGAGTGACTTACATTACTTCATAAATTGCCTTGTCATTATTTCTAAAATCAGTGCTCACACTTCAACACGAGACTCTGTTATTTAACAACTCATCCTGTGTTTCAAAGTGGCCTGATTTTTAGCTACCTTTGTAAAAGAACTGAAATTCAAATACACTCTCAAACACATACCCATTTTACTTGCAGCTGCCCAGCTGGCCAGAGCCGGCTACAACCCCATCCGGAGTAAGGGTCTGAGGCCCACACTGCAGAGATAAGAGCCAGGAAGCAGCCCAGTCCTCATGGGTCATAAGGAGGGGCTTGTGATCACATGAGAAATCCTGACACTGTGCTGGGACTTGGCTCCCTGGCCGACTGTGTTTGTTTTGGTTATGCATGCTGCAGCCCCCTTTCATGGGGTGGGGTAAGGGTGTACAATGTAATGGGACAGAAAAACTCAGGGCTAGAAGTTTATTTTCTGATGGAAGGTCCTGGCTTTGCTACACTGGGACAAAGAGGGCAAAACACTTAACCCTCTTAGATCTACTTCCCTTGTCTGTCATCTAGCTGATGACCTCAGAGAGATCCTATGAGGTTAAAATGAACATGCTTTTATAAGTAGATAGCACTATTAAAACAGAGGCACCACTAATGTGAGTCAGTCCACAGACATCTATCAAGAACCTGCTTTGCGTGAGACAATATCCTTTCTTTAAAGTGGTTCATCTGGAGAAGGGAAATAAAAGATGCAAAACAATAATACAGAAGTCACATAGTTCATAATTAATTGCTATATAAATACAGATTCCTATGATGAGACAGCGGCCTTGGAAAGCTCATAAGAAGGGCCTGCAAGGACAGACAGCATCTGGCTAGGCAGGTCAGGGATATGCATGGTAAAGCTGCAGAGACTGGGGAAGCACACACAGAAGCCTTTAGTGGGAGGCTGAGCATAGGCCATAGTAGGCAGGAGGCTCACTGCCATGCAAAGCCTGCTGGGAGTGCTGCTCCTGCTGAGAAGCTGGCCATGCCCATGTTCCCTTCTCAGCTGTCCTTGTGCCCCATGGCTCCACCATCCTCATTAGTTATGGTGGATTGCCCCAAACTTTGGTTCCAAAAGAAGTCACAGATAGCCTGTCGGGGAGGCAGCTGCTGCCTACGGCATGAAAGCCCTACAGCCCAGGAGAGTGACTGTTGGACCCAATCAGACCTTCTCCCCAAGGGAGAGACAGAAAGGTGCACCAACAACATAGGAAACTTGTTGCACACTAAAGGAAGCCTCGAGGCAGTTGAAGCTATGACCAAGCAGGAGCCTAGAGAGGCCAAGGGGGAGAAAGGATAATTTCCATAGAGCAGAGACAGAGCAGAGCTAGGTCTCCAGCAGGGTGGAGATGCCTGCTATACCGACAGGGCCACTCCGACAGGGGCTCCGGTTCCATCTGCAACAACCTCCCAGGTCCTCTCTGGCAGGCTCTGAACAATATGCTGGTTTCCTGGCTTCCCTCATCTCTGTGCACCCTTTCCTAAGCTCGCTTCCTCAACCAGGGCATGGGTTCTTCTCAATCCTGGCCGCATAACAGACTCACCTGTGCAGCTTCTTAAAAACACAGATTATCGACCTCACCCCAGAGCTTGTGAATCAGAATTCCTGGGGGTGGGGCCAGAATACCTGTGGGTTTCCTAAATTCGCAGCTGATTCCAATGTTCTGCCGCAGCAGAGCACTGAACCAAGTCAAGTGTGTGAACCTCAATGATTAAAAATCACACTTTTTTTTCTTACTCTTACATAAAATTATATTGATCTGGAATAAACAAATTTCACACCAACCTAGCAAGCTTTCTACTTCTGAGTTCCTGTTTAATATAATGTTATTATACCTGGGGTCTACAAAGCACTATACAGCCACGTTTTGAGGGCTTGCTGTGTGTCAGGCACCGTAGCAAGCTCTGTTCCATGTTTCGGCTCGTTTAACAAGTCGGCAGAGCGGACGTCAATCGCCCCCATCTCAGAGATGAGGAAACACACATTGAGGCAGGTTACAACCTGTCTGGTAAAGGCTAACAGAAGGACTTAAACTCAGAACTGACTTGGTCTTCCCATTGTGCTCTCAGGAGGTTTGTTTGATCCTCAAGATGATTCCCTACAGCAGGGCAGGGATGATCAGGTCCCTGCTTTAGAGATGAGGAGACAGATTCTGAGAAATTATTTTATCAAACGACACCACCTAAACCCCAGCAGCCGAGCAAACGGCACCTTTCCACAAGCCCTGGCTATTCCAAAACGGTGGCTGGAAAACAGAAGATATTCCATTTGGGGAAAAGGATCATTGAACACACTCATTCTCTGCCCCCAATCACTGTGGTTAGACTTAACCCAGTATGTGAACAATTATCCTGAAAATGGAAATCTTAAAAATGGAAGAAGCTATCCTCTTTCCTTTGCTGTGTATCAATGATTTCCCACCTTCCAAGGTATGGACCCCACTATAATGTCAAATAGTTTCACAGACCCTAAACAAAAGCAGACCAGTAAAGCTCAGGGTGTTCAGCTGATAATTAGCACAACTGCTAATTACAATGTATAGATTCACTTAAATGCATGGCTTAATTCAGAGTAGCCTATAGTCATCTTTTCTCAATTACAATGATGTCTGTATACTTTTAAACAGCATTTTGCACCCTATTAAAAATATAAAAAAGAAAAAGCCACAGAAGAAATCATGATAGTGCCCAATGAATTAAAAGTCTTTGTGCCCCATTGTAAATAACATTAAGCCTCTTCCAGATATTTCTGAATTATAATAATATTTGTAGATTATCATAGATGCTTAAAGAACTGTAGCCACCCAAAATACATACCAACCTTTTCCATACAGGGCACAGAATTTTTTTTTAATCTCACTGAGATCACAGAGTCACAGTGAAGAGGCTTACCCAGAAATGACGACAGCAAGACTAGGAGTGTGTTGGCGTCTTCATCTCCAAAACACGACGAAGCATTAGTCATATTTTCACTGAAGTTCCATAATGTTTTGCAGATCAAGCAGGCCAGCTGCCAATCAGTAGGACCAAAATCTCTTAGACACTCAACTAACCTGAGTTAATAAAAGTCAAGTTAACAAGGTATTAGGTCAGAATCTCTTTAACATTTATATTTTAGCACAATAATAATAATCAGTAATATTTAATATATATTGTGTGTAATTTAGTGATTATTTAAAATATGTTCATATCTGCAAATTCAAATAGCTACAAAGTGGCAGTAATCTACTTCTGAGATATTTTAAGTGCAGTGAAATCTAAGTCCCCTTTTCAGTCCTAACTTGGCTCTTCCAGATGTTCAAACACTTCTACCTGGAGGAATGGCGAGAGGGGCCTAAACTCCCTGGAAAACTGTGTCCTCCAAATCCTGAGAGTTGGAACACCACACCTTGAAACTTACTTTTTAATGCCGCCTCCTCCTTTTAGGATGACATGCTTGTCCTTATCCACAGTGAGATTTAGGAGAACGCCACAGGCAGAAAAGCAAATATCCTGATGCCCAGCATCCAGCAGTGCAATCATGAACTTGTGTACTGGGAGGGAAGAGAACAGACGCAGACCACTAAAGCTCGGGTTCTCAGCTGTACCTTATGCCCCCTTATTGAAGGGGAAAGGGCAAAGGGGAAATGGGGAGTGGCTTGCAAAACGGAAGTCCCTACTAGGGGTTTTAACCCTTCCTCCCTAAGTAAGGCATTACCCACTGCCCTGCAGTGGGTTCCCCAGCACCCACCACATCCAGAACCCGATCCCCACCCTCCAGGTCCCTGTCCCCAGATATTGCTGTATCTGACCCAGAAAGCAGCTCCCTCTCCAGGGCAGTGGTGGAGTCCCTGCTGGTGGAAAGGAGGAAACAATGGACGTCCAGTCACACAGGTGATGTTCATTTCTAACATCCCAAGGGCCTTTCAGAACCTCCAGCAGCAATTTTATCTACATACACAGCCCTGGGGGAGGGCTCCCGATGAGATCTTCCCTGAAGTCTTCCAGGGCCACAAGTCTGGATCAGAACACTGGAAACGGGCCTGTGGCAAGGCAGGACTTCCTGGGTAGGGGGCATCTCAGTGGGGACAGGCTCCCTGCCTCTGGGAACCAGTTTCCCCGACACCTAGGAAATAGAACTCTGTCTTGTTTTCAATCCCAGATCAGGGGCTGGGCGAAGAGTTACGGGGGAAGGGATAGCCCTGTGCTCTGCCTCCTCCCGTTTTCCTGCACACCTTGAGAGGTAGCCACCTCGTTCTGACCTTGGCCCTGTTGATGGATTCGACAGTGAGCTTGGCAAAGGCTGCGTCACATATATGTATTTTTAAGAGTCTAGAGAATGTACACCAAAATGTGAAGTTATCTCTGCGGTAGGGAGATAATGGGCGATGGTGTGATGCTGCTTTGTTTTTTTCTCTCTGTATTATCTAAATGTTTGATCGTGAACATGGGTGATTAGGTATTTGTGGACAAAAAAGGGGGTGCTGTAATAAATCGTAAATTCCTAACTGGGTGGGTCATGGTGGGTAGTCACACCCCAGCTCTATACCTTCTTCATGAAAACAAGCCCTGTCTGTTCTTGTGCATCTAGGTCAACACACCTCGGCGATGCCAGAAGTAATACCTCTCAAAGGGGCAATGTTCTTAAGAAAGCTCAGAATCCTGTAACCCTATCCCCACCTTGCTTTCTCCCACCCTCATGTAATTCTTCTTACATTCCCTCCTTAATTTCAAATGGGGAAGAAAAACTGCAAAACTGATATTCTTAGGAGCATTTGAGATCTTGTTCCCCAGTGTATGCCATCAGTTTGGCCCAAATAAACTTGTAAACCTCCTCTGCAGGTTTGGACATTTCTTACATCAACATATTTTTAGTTATTATTCTTACATGAAATATTTGAGACATATCAAGGGTGGTTAGTATAAAACTCTTGTGTACCTGCCACCCAGTTTAAGAAATAAGACATTACATATCTAATTTTATATCTGGGCATTCCTTTCCCTCCAAAGATAACTTCTGTCTTAAATGTGGAGTTTGTCAATTGCAAATACTATTTGTACCTTACAACATGACTACATGAGTGCATTATATAGACAGTACCCAAGATTGTTTTGCATATTTTAAAACTTACCTTAATGGCATCATTCTGTGTATATGCCCCTATCACTAACATTTCTGCTCCTAGATTATAAGTGTTTGAGTTTGAACCATGAACCTCTAGTTCATGTACTTTCATTGCTGTATGCAGAACATACTGTGGCATGAATATACCACAATGTATTTATCCTCTTGCCTGTTGATGGATTTTTAAGTTGTTTCCACTTTTTTGCTATTACAAGCAGTACAGTAATGAACATTCTAGTACATGAAGTAGCATGTCCCTTGAGTCTGTTCCCATGGGTAGAAATGAGAGTATAGATAACTTGTCCTTGTCTGTCTGTCTGTCTGTCTGTCTCTCTCCCCCTCACCCCACCCCCCCGCCCCATCTTGGAACTCAGAAGACTGCTCACGAGGGAGTGGGAACACGGAGAACACTGCCGAGTCCGTCTTGGCATCCTGTGCTGACAGCCTTACGTACGGAAGGAACAGAATGTTAGGCACTTACTCATCCCAAAGCGGAAACAAGTGTCACATTGTCATGACCCAAGCTCCGAGACCGCTTCGTGTTTATTGGCAAGAAGTGCATGTTTATGAATGTAAGTGTCATTCACTCACTATTCTTCTCCACAATGAAATCGCAGACATCATGGTCTTGGGAGAGATTTCCAAAAACACGCACAGCCTCCAGGATTCCATCCATGTTATTACTCATGAGAAGCTTTAAAAGCACTGGGTTGGGTGACCAGAGGAGGGGAAAAATCAGTGAATTGAAGCTTTGATTTTAAGGCTATTAGAAACCAATACCATCAGTTCAATAAATACTAATACTGCTAATTCAAAAATTAAAAATGATAATAAAATACAAACTTCAGGGGACTTCAGTAAGAACTAAGAAGCCAAGCTTTCCCCATATTCTAATTTTCCAGAACCAAATCAGGCTCTTCTGATTTTTTCCAGGAAATCAGAAAATATGAATGCTTCTAGTACAATGTTTAGTTAATAAAACCAAAACCTTAACTGGACATGCATCTACCCAAACCTAACTCTGAACCTTACATTCAGCAATATGTAGCTTTTTGTTTTGAATTATGGAATTCTTCACGTGGTAGTAAGATAAGTTGTTGATTGTTACTGTCGTATTGATCACCAGCTCCTCACAATCATCGATTGACTTGTATTCTGAAACAAAGGAAGGGTGTCACGGACTCACGGCAGGGCTAGAAGCAAGGCCATCCTAACTGCAGCAACAATCCCAGCTGCGGCAGGGGTGAGCCGCTGTCCTGGGCAAGGTCTGGGCAAGGGCAGTGCCTGCCCTTGCTGTTTGCTGCTTTATTTCCAGGACTCTTCCTGCAGGAAGTGCACCAAATGCAGGGGACCCCTTCTGCCCAGGGCTTAGAACACTCTGAGCTCCATCCTCACAGCCAGGGGCTCTGGAAATGTAGGGCTGATCTCGGCCCTGGGTCTATAGTAAAGCAAAAGTGCTAAACACACCAGTGAGCCCACCCATCTCTAATGCCCTCTGGCTTGCCCGGCCCCTAAACATGCAGCACCTGGTCGCTTCCCACCTACTCTGCTACCATCTACCCCATCCCCTCACTAGTTTCTCTTCATCTACCTCTTCCCTCCAGAGTCCATCCTCAGCATGGTGAGCCTTCAAAAGTTAGTCGGATAATGTCATTGGTCTCACTTGGCCCTCCGGCTGTCCCTGGGCTGCCCGGGTCCTGACCTCTCTGGCCTCATTCGGTGCTCTAACCCTCAGGCCCCCAAGGCCAGCCACACTGGTCTTTGTACTCTTTTTGAACTTGTCAGCATGACCCTTCCTGGGAATGTTTGCCCTGCTAACCCCTCTGTCTGGAATATATTCTTTTTCCGGTTATCTGCTTGGCTCGCTCCCCATGTGCTTTGGGTTGTTGCTCAGATGACACCTGGTTGGACAGACTTTCCTTAGTCACCCCATGAGAAGCGGCACCCATTACTCTCTCTCCCCCTTACTCCACTTCAATTTTCCCCATGGAACATGTGACCACTTGACTTGTATGTTTAAAGTATGTATGTCTTCTAGCCCTAAAAACGTGAATTCCATGAGGACTGGTGATTCGTCTGTTTTATTCATTGCTGCTTTCCCAGCACCTTGAGCAGCATCTGACACAAAGAGGGGGCTCAGGAAATAGTTGCTGAATACAAGAATAGGTGAGTGAAGGAAGGAAGGAAAGAAGGGAGGGAGGGAGGAAGAAGGAACCCTTTAGCTTACACACAGGACCTTCAGTAATTCTGTCCCTGCCTTCCACTCAGCCTCCAGACTTGTCTGGCCACAGTGCAGAGAAGGGCAGATGCGAGGATGCCAGTGAGGAGCCTCCTGTGGTATTCAGGTGGCAAATAATGTAGCTTAGGCTTCGGTGATGGTGGAGATGGAGCAGGTGGATGGACTGAAAAACTATTTGGGAAAAACTATTTGGGGAGAAAAATGGACAGTATGTGGTGAAGGCTGGATTGGGGGATAAGAGGGAGGAATCACTCAGCATGATTCCCGGGTCTCTAGATTACATTATTAGATGAACAGTGATCACATTCTCTGATTCAAGGTCATGAGGAGAGGGTCCAGTTGGGAGAAAGGTCATGAGTTGCTTCTGAAGTGCCCGCACTGGGTGAGGAGTGAGGTAGTTGGATGCATGGTCTGACAGAGGAAGATTCACACTGGTAACACTGAACTAGTTACGGCAAATTGAATGAGCATCTGCCTCTCACCTCTCTCACCGTGCCTCCCCCCACCTCCCGTAACTGTTCCAAGCCTGGGAGGGAACCACCTCAGCACCAGCACACACCTTGGGCCCTTGCTTGGTTAGGAAGTGCCTTCCACCTCTTGTATGAAACGAAACTTCCTCAGGGAATAAGAGAGGGGGTGCAGGCTGAGCAGCAGGACTGTGCTAGCTCCTATGCTCTCTGATTCCATCCTCCCTCCTTTTGGCTTTCTTTTCATTAAAGGCAATGGCCTTTTTAAAGCTTACTCTATTACAAAGGAAAATTCAGTCATTCGTATGCTGCAGAAAACATATACTCGTTTGTTGTTTCTTTCTCCAAGTGTTCCTGGAGGGTCTACCATGTCCTGCCCCCATGCTGGCCACCGTGGGGGAGGGGAGCACTGGCCAAAGGACAGTGTATGTGTGAAGAGCTTATGGAATTACTATCAGGCTTTGGACTTGCTTGGGACCTGACAGCCATTCCTTTTTTTCCTGCTTCTCCCTTTTGGAATGAGGATGGCTATCCTGGGCCTGTTCCATCACTGTGTTTTGGAAGCATGGAACTTGCCTAGTTTTAGAGATCTACAGCAGGAGAGAAATTTTTTTTCTCAGGACAAATCATACCTCAAGTCACACAATAGTTGATTTGGAGGGTACTGAAGTGGGATTATGGACCTTGGGTTTTAGAGTTGACGCTGGAAGAGTTAAGACTTTGGGGGCTGTTGAGAAGGAATTAATGTGTTTTGTACATGAAAAGGGGGTTCTAGGGACAGACAACTAAATTGACTAAATCATGTCCTCTCCCCCCAATTCATATACTACAGCCCTAACCTCTAATGGGATAGTATTTGGAGACAGGGGTTTTAGGAGGCAATGAAAGTTAAATGAAGTTGTAAGGATAGAGACCTTGTTAGCTCAAACTGCTGGAGTCATAAGAAGAGGCCATCCCCTCTCCCCTTGTGTGCACGCCGAAGGAAGGCCAAGTGAGTAGGCAGTCATCTGCACACCGGCAAGGGAGCTCTCACCAGGAACCACACAGGCTCACACCCTGACCGTGGGCTCCTAGCCTCCAGAACCCTGAGAAATAAATTCTGTTTTACAAGCCAATAAGTCTGTGGTATTTTGTTATAGCAGCTTGAGCTGACTAATACAGGGGAAAAGATAAGACCTGCACTACTGGGGGCTGTAATGACAAATAATGTGACAACCTAAAAAATAAAAAGATTGGACTTCCAGCCAAGATGGAGGCATAGGTGGACGCACCGTACCTCCACGCACAACCAAGATTGGAACAACAACAATTTAGAGGCAGAATACCATCCAGAACTGACAGACAATTGATCTGAATGGAAGTCGGACAGCCAAGAAGTTGAAATAGATCTGTTCATCCAGACCAGTAGGAGGGGCAGAGACGAGCAGCCAGGAGTGGGTTGTGGCACAGAGAGCAGAGAGAATTGGGCACATAAGGCATCCGGGGGTGCATAAGGCATCTGGGGTGTGCAAGATCGCAACGGGTGGACCCTGAGTATGCAAGCGGCAGCTGGCAGACCCAGTGAGGCAGCTATTTTGGAGCAGGGCAGAGTGTGCAACCCAGGATTCCAGAGAAGGGACTGAGGTCCCAGGAGCTCACCGCCATTGTTCCCTCCCGCCCCCACCCCCATCCCCACATACAGTGTCACAATCTAGCGACTGAGGTGCCCAGCCCTGGTGAACACCTAAGGCTCTGCCCCTCACCATAACAGGAGTGACCAGACCAAAAAAAAAGAGAGAGATGGCTCAAACAGAAGAACAAATCAATGCCCCAGAACTCATCCTTTTGAGCAACTGAGAGATAGCCAACCTATCAGATGCACAGTTCAAAACAATGGTGATCAGGAAGCTCACAGAATTGGTTGACTTTGGTCGCAAATTAGATGAACAAATACAGGTTATGGTAAAAGAGATGAAGGAAAATGCATAGGGAACCAATAGTGATGGGAAGGAAACTGGGACTCAAAACAATAAAGTGGACTAGAAGGAAGAAAGAAACAACCAAACAGGAAAGAAGGGAGAAATAAGAATTCAAAAAAAATGAGGAGAAGCTTAGGAACTTCCAGGACATCTTTAAACATTCCAACATCTGAATTATAGGGGTACCAGAACGGGGAGAGGAAAAGCAACAGATTGAAAACGTATTTGAACAAATAATGAAGGAGAATTCCCCCATTCTGACAAAGGAAATAGACTCCTAGGAAGTCCAGGAAGCTCAGAGAGTCCCAAAGAAGTTGGACCCAAGAAGAAACACACCAAGGCACATCATAATTACATTAGCCAAGCTAAAAATGCAGGAGAGAATCCTAGAAGCAGTAAGAGATAAGGGGACAGTCACCTACAAAGGAGTTCCCATCAGACTGTCAGCTGATTTCTCAAAAGAGACCTTGCAGGCAAGAAGGGGCTGGAAAGAAGTATTCTAAGTCATGAAAGGCAAGCACCTATATTCAAGATTGTTCTATCCAGAAAAGCTTTCATTTAGAATGGAAAGACAGATAAAGTGCTTCTCAGATAAGGTCAAGTTCAAGGAGTTCATCATCACCAAGCCCTTATTTTATGAAATGTTAAAGGGACTTATCTAAGAAAAGAAGATTAAAAAAACATGTATAGTAAAAGGACAGCAAACTAACAATTATTAACAACCACACCTAAAGCAAAACCAAAAGAAACTAAGCAAACAACTAGAACAGGAACAGAACCACAGAAATGGAGATCACATGGAGGGTTATCAACAGGGGAGTGGGAGGAGGAGAGAGGGGGAAAAGGAACAGAGAATAAGTAGCATAGATTGTAGGTTGAAAATAGATAGGGGGAGGGTAAGAATAGCATGAGAAATGTAGAAGCTAAAGAACTTATAAGTATGACCCATGGACATGAACTTAAGGGGGGGATGTGGGTGGGAGAGGGTGTGCAGGGTGGAAGAGAGGGAAGGGGGGAAATGGGACAACTGTAATAGCATAATCAATAAAATATATTAAAAAATAAAAATTAAAAAAAGTGAAAAGATTAAATACACTTTAATACATGGACTAACCATGGAAAAATTGGGGATTTTAAACTCTTTGTGGTTATGTTGGCTGATTTCTGGTAACTTATCACTATATTTTTTAAATATTGCAATATAATTCACATATCACAATATTCACTCTCTTAAAGTGTACATACTATTCAATGGGTTTTAGAAATAATATTACTATGTGTTCATTTTTTAGAAATCTGGATTACTTTTGAGGCAGTTCTGAACAGAGGAGGAATGTTCTTTCATAGGGCTGAGCCGTCTCGTTAAAGTGAGCCGATTGTACTAATAAATCCCTCAGCACACCCAACCTCAGCACAGCCCCTGGCTGCAGGGCACAGCTGCCGCTTGCGTCCACTTCAGCCCACTGGGCTGAGGGTCTTACCCAGCAGGCCGAGGGTCTTACCCAGTGTGACGAGGAGCAGGCCTACTATATACGGGTTGGCAGCCATGGCCGGCCCGATGCCCGGGTGGATGGCCAAGTTGGCGAGCACGCGGGTCAGCTTGATGAGCACGTCCTCCACCTGGGCCTGTGGCTTCGGTGCCTCGGGCTGCTCATCTCCTTCACCAGCTCGCCTCCTGGGATGCAGATCCAGTTTGTAGAACGTGCGGAATAATGACAGCAGAGTGGGGATGCTCCCTTCCTCTTTGAAAAACTGTTCACGAGCCTGGTTATTTTTCGCTGTCAGGTTGCCAAGAATGAAAACAATACGAACAACTAAGTCCTGAAATAAATGAGAGACGACGAGTTACAATTGCATAGCGGCTGGGGCAAATTGTTGGAAAGAATGCTGTATTTATTCATGATTTAATTAATAGTAACATTGGAACATGTCTGGCTTCAACTAACTTGTACAGGATTTGATTCCCAAGGCTGGGGCAGATCGACAGAGGCACTAAAGCGTTTGGCAGCACTGAAAGGAGACAAACTGATTGATGCCGTTAGAAGGTCTATTAACTTCAGATCCTTCGTCTGAAATTCTGGCCAGCATTTTCCGTTTTGTTTTGTTTTTTTCCGGAGACCAACTAATGGAGTGGGATATCGATATGAAGAATAATGTATTACACAAATCTAAGCTTTCATGCTAACAGGTTTCTGGAGCATCAGAATCTTTTCCTGAAAGTCCACCTCTTGCGGAAGCACTGTGTTTCTAGACACCAGGCAATAGATAATGGCTAGTCAGATTGTATTGACAGCAGGGTTTCTCGGCCTGGGCCCCACTGATGTTAGGGGCTGGATAACTCTTTGCTGGGGACAAGGGCACCTTGCGTTCAACAGCATTCCTGGCCTCTTGTGTTAGATGCCAGTAGCAGCTGCCCAGATGCCACAGCCAAACATGTTTAAATGACCCCTTGGGGCAACCACCCCCTCCCCCATTGAGAACTACTGCCTGGTATCTGTACAGCACTTTAATGTGGAACTGTGCTTGTCTTTCTTGACCTGGGTAGTAGGTACATGCGTGACACCTTTATAACTATTTGCTACCTGGTACATATGTGTGCCATGAACTTTTCTGTATATATGATATATTTCACAACCAATAAGTAAATGTTCCTAAAATCCCTAAAGTGTGAACATTTTACAACCAAACCAGACACAAAAACAATTATGTTCTTAATTCAACGACGATATGTGAGCACAGCAGGCCTTACAAGCAGTGGGCGAGGAAGTCCTGGGAGGGAGAAACTTTAAAGGAAAACTTAAGCCTGGCTACAACCAGCTTGGGTGCTAACACTTACTGTGGCTGGTGCTGTGCTATTTTAAAGAAAGGAACAGGTTTGGAGAAGTGCTGGGTCACATAGCCGGCAAGGGTGGAGTCAGGATTTGAACCTAGGATTACCCCAGCCTGGAGTCCTTTCTACACCCATGCCCTACTTTCCACAGGTTTGTCCTTTAATAATCTCCTCCTTGAACTTGCCTTCTTTCAGAACAGTTATGGAATTATCTCCTTTTGAAATGCAAATATGGCACAGGGAGGGATTCCAAAAAACCTTTGTTTATCAGGTTGGTAATTACCGGCAGCCTTCAGAAAAAGGGACAAAAGGCAAAGGGCTGGGCCTGTTTTCACGAGGAGCCAGGTTCAGGTGGGATGGGGGGGGGGGGCAGGAGCAGCGCAGAGACGGTGTGTGGCAAGAGACAAGGAAGATCTAGGACAAAGTATAAGACTTTGGGATTTGCCAATTCCAACTTGTTCCTGCTTGTTTTTTTTAAAAAAAAAGTTTTTCCTGGCCCTGGCTGCAAAGCAACGGGCTGCTGCTTGTGCAGCTGGAAACTATTTGCAAACATGAGGAAAGGACGGAGGCTGGGAGTCTGACACGGTGGCGAGAAGGGGCCCCTGGTCCAGGACGGAGCTCCCTGGGAAGAACCCCACTCAGCTCAGCGTGCAGCCAACTGCCGCAGCAGTCCGGTCGGTCGGGAGAGACCCCGCCGGGGGACCCCCACCCAGGGAGGGCTGAAGCTGGTCCTCACAGAACTCTTGAATGTGGGGGCTTTGGGGGAATGTGTTCTGAGGAAAGAGTGAAGATATGGAATACATAAAATGGAGTCACTGTATCTAAGATGATAAAATTATTAACATCATGAAGGTCGACTTCATTCTTGTTCTAAGTAGCCTGGGAACTTAAACTTTTAAAATCTTTCCAGTCCTGTGTCTATGTGTATGTCTGGAGAATGAATACACACACACACACATATTCTGGAGATTATATATAATCAAAATCTCCAGATTACCTTCAAATGTCCCCTGGAAGACTCACACATCTAGGCCACTGGGCATCCATCATCCAGACTGATAATTATCTGATGATAATCATCCTGGACCAATCCTAGGGCTCACAATGTAGGACTGATTTTTCTTAAGAATGCACTTTTTACTTGGGACACTTTCCTTCTTCTTTGGAACACTCACAGGTTTTGCCTAGCTGTGTTCCCAGTTTGCAAACTCCAAGACCTTTCAATAAATCCTCATCATTTATTCCTTGCCAAAGCTTCCAGACTCTTGGTTTGACAACACACATAAGCAAGCTCGAGGCAAGGCGCTCTGAAGAGCCTCTAACCTACTTGAGAAGACAAGACTAAGGAGGAAGCCGGACACCAAAAGGGATTATGACTCCCAGCTCGAGGGCCAGGCAGTCCGGGTTCATGTTTGTTACTTTGCTTAGCTTCTCTGTGCCTCCATGAACTCATTGGGAAAATGCGGAAAATAATGTATTTTGAGATTGAAGCAAAACATACAAAGCACAAATTGTAGTGAATAATGATTCAGGCATTGTTCTGAACCTTTTTCACGCACTATCAAAAAATTCTTAGTAGCAATAAACGAGGTGGGACGGGCCCCCGTGGTCCTAGGAGAGTTTAGATAAGAGGATGCTCAGTGAACAGTCTGTGTGTGGGGGTGGGGCAGCAACGTCACCACAAATGGGTTTGAGTTCAACTTTGAAAATATGTGAAATGCACATATGTGGGGGTGGGAGGAGGGTTTGCAGGAGGAAAGAATACCCTAGGACAGTTCCTTTGCTGGCGCCTGGGGTCCCCTTTTCTGCCCCTGATCACCAGAGGGTTCCCTGAAGAAGCTGAAGCCTGTGGGTCGAAAATCTAAAACAAGCACATCCAATTCCATTACAATACTTGAATTTCACTTCATGTAAAACCAGCAATTGCTCCAAGTAACTCGGGACAGCTGAGGCTCCTCCCCGGGCTCTGGAAGGAAAGCACATCTCCAGCCTGGCCATATCCAACAGAAAAGCAGACCGTTTCCCAACTAGCACAGGGATATTTCTGAGAATTAGGCTCCTCAAAGGAAAATTCCATTTTATATTTGCTAAGTTGAAGAACAGGAGCTTTTTGCACAAGTCGTGATATATGATTTCTGATTAAAGACATTCTAAAAAATTTCTACCCTGAAAACTGTAATAATACTAGTAGTAGTAGCAACTAACGCATGGTGGCTTACGATGCACCAAGCACTGATACATAAATTAACTAACTGACTCAAAGTGATAACTTCCAGTTCTTTAAACTGAACAAAGCTGTTCCCACTCTCTGCAGTCGGAGAGCAACTTCCCTCACACACTTGACAGTACTTATGTCAAACATTTTTGAACTTCATGCTGTTCCCTGGATTGTGCTCTTCTCTCACTTCCACAAAACATATCAAGTGAGGCAGGAAAGGCACTGCATGTGATTTTAAATGACTTCTTAAAGAATTGTAAGTAGCTGTACTCTATTCACTAAATCACTACCTGAACTAATCAATATACTTCCTAAAATGTCTCTGCCATCTTTTGAAGAATGCTAGATCATTTTTAATCCATATATATACACTTATATATAAACATATATTGCTATATATATAAAAATTACAGCTGGCCTTCCACATTATAGTAGCTTCAGGTGCCCAGCACACTGCTTAGACATTTCTGTAACTTAGAAAGTTCCCCTGTGTTTGCTTTTTCTGGCAGTCCAACTCAGTGGGCACCTGAGGCCCTGTACCACCTCCACCTCTTGTTGTTGACAAGTCAGGAGTATTTAGACCCTGGCTCTAGGTAAAAGCGGATCTCCTTAGAGATCATCATTCTTCAAAAAAAAAAAAAGAAAAAAACAAATGACCTCCAGCCACTGTCACGTGGTCTAATCTAGTTAGAGTAAGTGCTGCTTTTCTTTGAGCAATTTTCTCGGCCCCCTCCCACTGATAAGATTCTTTCATTTTAACATGTCTGTGAGTCCTAACGTGGTCTAGATAAATACAGCTGATGTGGGGAGGCTTTAAGGCAGGAAGAGTTAACACTGCTAGAAAGCCTCTTTCCCTGCCTTCAGAGGGAAAAAGGAGGGGGTGGTTGCTGGCAGCGTTCACGCCAACTGCGGGATGGCACGCGAGATCCACGGATGGGGATGGCAGATTGCGCCGTCTGAGGCAACTCACTTCCAGCAACTGCTGTGCTCGCTGCTTCTGTCCTCTTTACCAGGGTTGGCTAAGGTTTGCTTCCTCCCTCCCCCTTCTCCAATATATTCCCCAAGAATCAAGGGAGCACAGACTAGGCCAAAATGGGAGCAATCCCAAGGAGGTTGGCAGAAGTGGTGTTTCCTTATTCCCAAGCCAGTGCTTGTCTGGACTCATCTGGAGTCCCAACAGCGGAGGCTGAGCAGGGGGTGCTGCACGGCCCCCTCAGCTCGCCGTCAGTGGCCTCTGCACAGTGCAGACCCGCACTGGGACAGTATTATGGAGAGGTTATTATTGTTCCACAGCCACAATTCATCTCGAGTCTACAGAATATCATTTAATTAAAATCCTCTAAAGACTTGAAAAATTGGACAAAGGCCAAAATCACTGATTTGCAGAGACTAATTCCACAGCAGAAAACTCTTTCAATATGCAATTCTCTTTTGAGGTACAGATTCTCTCCTTCATTCTTAGACAAAATCTGAGAACCACATATAAATCAAGACTGCACTTTTATAGCATTTCTATTAAATTTAACACAAAGTTGCATATTCCTACCACAGCTTAGAAACAGCAAAATGAAGATGAATCGGGAGAGAGAATTATTTTTTTTAAAGGCAGTCTAGCCCTGACCAGTGTAGCTCAGCTGGTTGGGCGTTGTTCTGCAGTGCAAAAGAAAGGTCACCAGTTCCATCCCCAGTCAGGGCACATGCCTACATGCCTGGGTTGCAGGCCCGGTCCTTCCCCCCACCCCCTCCCAGGCTGGGGTGTGGGCAGGAGGCAAC